TGAACTTAGTGTCTCAAGCTTGCTAGGCAGGTACTCTACCACTTGAGCCATACCCCTAGCACCTAATCAATACATCTTTTCTGACAGATGGAAGCAGAACAGAAACTGCTCCACCCTTATTGTAACAAGGCTCTGCTTGACCAATTCTGAGATAATAAGAAACAGGGCCACACCTGTGGGGACTGTTTAATATTTGTGCATATTTCTGGTGTCCCTTTCCTCCAATCTTTTCTCCTGTTTAAACTTAAAGCTCATGTTTGTACCCAGGAGATGGAATGAAGTGATTACTTTGCCTCTTCCTGCAGCACACTGGTGCCTTATAATAAATCTTCTTTATCTGTGCTTTACCACTGCTTGTGTTTGTTTGGGGCACTGGAGGAGTGGCAGGACCTGAGGAGGAATCCCTGGACTTGGGGGCTGTAGTCTAGAGCTCGTGGTAACATGTAACTAGTCATTTGTCTCCAGGTCTTTTGTCACCATCTATTTGCAAACCACCATCATCTCTTTCTTGGACTACACTATGGTTTCAACTAGGGTTTTTGGTTTTTTTTGGGGAGGGTGGGACTGGGATTTTAACTCAGGGCTTGCAAAGCAGGCCCTTGTAAAGCAGGTGCTCTACCACTTGAACCACACCTCTAGTTCATTTTGCTCTAGTTATTCTGGAGATGGGATCTCACTAGGCTGGTCTCAAAACAGTATTCTTCCGATTTTCCAAGTAGCTAGAATTACAGGCATGGCACCCAGCTTTTATTTTCTTTTGTGGTTCTGGGATCAAACCCAGGGCCTTGCACATGCTGGGTAGGTATTCTGCCACTGAGCTATGTCTCCAGCCCCTAAAGTTTTCTTTTGTTGAAAAATAATTATAGATTCACAGGAAACTGACAAAAAAGTATGTATAAGGAATTCCAATGTGCCCCTTAACCAATATAACTATAGTGTAATTTTAAAACTAGGAAATCATATTGGTTTAGCCTACAGAATTTATCCCGATCTCATCCATTTTACATATGCTCATTTGTGTCACATACTTACAGTTTTTTTGCAACTTTATTGTGTATTACATTGGAGTAATTGCCACCACAGTCCAGATACAGATCCATGGCTGGACATGGGGAAGGAAGATGGAGAGTTCCAGGCAAGCCTGGACCACATAGTGAGACCCTGTCACAAAAAAAAAAAAAAAACAAGAGCTGGGGACGTAACTTAGTGGTAGAGCACTTACCTAGCATGTAGTAAGGCCTTGGGTTCAATCCCCAACAACCCCCACCCCCAAATATATTGTTAATATAAAATGGCAATACTTGCATGTGTGTAACTTTTTTGCTAAAAGGGCTTTCTTATGTGTGTTGTGTTGTTATTGTCTGTGTTTAAAGATAGAGTTTCACTATGTTGCCCAAGACTGGCTTTGAACTCCTAGGTTTAAGTGATTCCCCTGCCTCAGCTTCCCGAGTACCTGGGATTATAGCAATGCACTACTGTACCCAGCTACAAGTGGCTTTTTTCAGTCAGCCACTCTTGAAATCCATCCAAATTGTTGCATATATCAATTTTGTTTTTTGTTTTTAGAAGCAAAGGAGAGTAATTCTTAGCCAAGAATAGGAGAGATGGGAAATAATTGCTCAAATCAATTTCTCAGCTTTTGAGGGTAAAGTTATATACATGTAAAATCAAATAAAAGAGGGGGAGTAACAGGCTAATAAAGGGGAGGAATATTCATGTCTTTTCTGGGAATAGGTGGAGATTTGGGAGAACTTGGGTACTACCTTTTTTCATTCTTGTTAAGGTTCTTTCCAGTCATGACAATTTTTTGTCAGCTGTCATGCTGCTATGGGTGTGTCATTTACCATGAAGATGGCATTATAATGAAGCTAGAAATTGTCAGGTGGTCAATCTGCCAGTGATCTTAGGCCCAACCAGTTTCAGGTAGCCCCCAGAAGAGGAACTCTTGGTCTTCCTGCATCTTGTCCTCAAAGAAAAACAGTACTATGGGGGAGAGGAAATTCAGTTAAGTCACCTAGGCAGTACTCAGGAGAATAAATCCTCCCTTTCTTCTTTTCACTTCATATTTTTTCTCCTTTCCTCCCTCCTTTCCTTCCTTTCCTCCTTCCTTGTCTTATCCCACTGTTATCACTCCTTTTTCTTAAGGAGTGCTGAAGGAAGAAGGTCTAGCATGTCTGGCTTCTCCAAGCTGAGTTGGATGTCAAGGCGCCCATTAGAGGGGTAAAATTCTCCCTGGCTAATCTTAAATAGGTTTGTTATTGCTTGGTCATAGCCCTAGCTGTTTATGTAATTTTATGGCCTTCATCCTTTTACTTATGTATGAGACCACAATTGAAGATGCATGGTCCACAGAGCAGGAAAAACCGTTATCAGCAGGCCCAAACAGGACAAAAAACCAGGTAATCCTTGGTTTTCTCTTTAACCAGGTTTCATATATCTTGGGCAAAGGTGGCTGAAGTTTGATTTTGGAGCCAGCTTGCCTTTTCTAAAAGCTTACAATGTTCCTTTTATGGCTCCACTTTTGTGTGTGTGTGTGGTACTGGGGTTTGAACTCAGGGCCTATATGCTTGTTAGCCAGGTGCTCTACCACTTGAGCCACTCTGCCAGCCCTATTTTATATTTTTTCAGGATAGGATCTCTCAAACTGTTGCCTCTTGTTGGCTTTGAACCATGATCCTCCTGAGTAGCTAGAATTACAGGCGTGAGCCACCAGCACCGGACTCCACTGCCATTTATATAAACACAGTAGAAAGTGTTAATGATCAGCATTGTTTCTGTGAAGTATCACCTTAAAAGGAAGTGAAACATTTAATCCTAGACTAAGAAGAATCATTATAAGTTATAAGGCGAAGTGTAGAGAGAAACTAGCCTGACAGGAAGCCAAATGAAGATATCTATGTTCCTATATGACCACTGATCCACTGAACACCACAGGCATTTTGGTACAATTTGTTATAAGAACCAGACCTTTGTAGACCTAAAGACCTTTGCAGTGACTGGCTCCATAACCCAAATACTTGAAGCCTGAGGTAGACATCAGAAAGTCAGTTTATACAATGAAAATAACAATATTCCACAGGTGGAATATTTACATTGGCGTTTTTACCCTGTAGGCAGACCTACATGAGAGGTCAAATCTTTATCAGAGGGATATTTGAATGTGAATCAAAATAACATAATAGCTATAGCTAAGACAGGTTGAAGGGCAGATTCCTGGAAAAACTAGTGGGAATGGGACTCTGGACCTTTCATGGCCGACAAAGCCTTTTGCTTTTTTACTGCTAACCACACTGCATCCTGTCTCAAAGCCCATCTCACTTTGTACCCCTAGGCTCTGGTCCTTTCTCTGGGATAAATGTCTGAGAGTGCAATTGTTGGGTCATGTGGTAAGCATATGTTTAGTTTTATAAGAAACTATCAAACTTTTCCAGAGTGTTGTATAATTTTACATTCCTGCTAGTAAGATGGATCCAGTTTACTTCATGAACAGCAATTGGTGTGTAATCACTATTTCCCCCAGCAGGGGAGAGTCCCTCACTACCACAATTACGCAGTGGTTTCCTGAATTTGGGGAAATCGAAGGGGTCAGCACATCCAGAGTGGAATGGATGAGCCTCACCCTGGGAAAACCACCTTCGTGATCATAGTATCTCCCCTGCCAGGTAAGTATGATCACTGTTTTTTTATTTTAGCATTCTGATAGGTATGTGGTGATACCTCACTGTGTTTCTAATTTGATTTCTCCAATGGCTAATGATATTGAACATCTTTTTGTGTGCTTCCCCCTATCTTTCTGTACTCCTTAATGAAATTATACTACTCCATTTTTTTTTTTTTCAGCACTGGGGTTTGAACTCAGGGCCTCACACTTGCTAGACAGGCACTTTTCCACTTGAGGTACTTCACCAGCCCTTCTTTTGTCATTTTTAAAATTGGATCCTTTCTGGGTGTGTGTGTATAAAACTGTTCAGTTGTCAGAGCTCTTTTTTTTTTTTTTGAGAGTTCTTTATATATTGTCAGTACAGGGCTTGGTCAGCTATATGGTTTGCAAATGTATTTTTTTCCCATCCTAGCTTGTTTTTTCATCCTCTTCACAAGATCTTTCTCAGGGCAAAAAATTTTAATTTCAGTAAGATCTGATTTATTAACTTTTTCCTTGTATGGATTGTGTTCTTGGTTTAAAAAGTCTTTGGCTAGCCCTAGGTCCTAGTCTATTTTTTACTGTTTAAAAGTTTTATAGTTTTACATTTAAATCTATAATTCATTTTGAATGAATTTAGGTTAATTTATGTCAAGGTTCACTTTTTTCTTACAAAAAATGGTTGACCTTGATATCTTGAATTCACGATCCTTCTGCCTCCACCTCGGGAGCGCTGGGTTTAGATATGCACCACCACGCCCAGGTAAGACAAGGGCTTTACCACTGAGCTGCACCCCAGTCCTACTTGCATTTTCTACCACTCAGTGCTTACTATAACTCTAGGCTGTCGGAAAAACCCAGGCGCCTTTCCTGGTAAATGACTTCATGCAGGTCTATTTGATTATCGCTTCCTCGGAGAGATTTCTCCAACCTTCTTTTCCCCCTGCTCAGTTTTTCTTTACAGCACGTTCATAATACAATGTATCAGATATCATTTGCTTATTTCGTTTGTTTCTACTGTCAATTCTGCTAGAAGCCCGAAGCGAAGCACACTGCTTTTTCCCGGGTCTAGAATAGGCACTTAAAGAATTTATTGCTTGAGAGGTCGAAGGCATAAATAAATGTAAGCGCCAACGACACGTATACGTCTTGGTCAGGCGCTTTTTTCGGACTTCATGCAACGTGCGAGCGCCACCTCCTGGGAAGCCAATTTGCTCCGGGTGAAGGAAGTGATAGAACCTTAGTGTAGAAAAAAGATGGCAGCCGGCCGGAAGAACCTGAAGACGAGAGCCGGAAGTTAGACACGGGAAGGTTGGTCTGTGGCGTGACCTCCTACTCACTAGAGGAGGGATGAGCCAGCGGTGTTCCGCCAACAGTAGTCCCCTGCAGCGGATCTGCTCAAAAACGTTCCGTGAATGCAAATGCTGAGAACCACGTGGGGCCGAGGTGTGTTTCCGGTGCCGGCAGCTGCAGCCGGGGTTAAAGCCCAAGCAGCAGAAGGGGTGAGAAGGGTTCGGGGTCCTGAAGGGAAAGGAAAAGGAGTCGGGTCTGGGGAAGTAGATAGAGGAGGTGAAGTTTTAGAAAAGAGGTGAGTGTCGTTCCGAGAGGTGGGAGAGGGGGATCGTATGGGCGAGAAGGGCGGGGAGCGCCTGTGGACAGGTGCAGACTCGTCAGCGCAGTCCCCACACCATGTGGGATCGCCTTTGTCCGTGGCAGCCTTTCCTATCAGGCCGCGACGGCAGGGACTGTGCCACGTTCGCCTTCCAGTTCGGTGCCCGACACTGCGTTTGCGCTCAGGGGATGCATGATGAATGAATGAAGCGTGTGTGTTAGGGATCGATGTTGGGGTTCATATGTAGAGACTATTTCCGGCACTTTAGCTTCATTTAGTTCTGGGGAATCCGTGCTTGCCCGCGTTGGCTAGGTGATCTTTGGGCTTTGTCTTTTTCTTGAAGGATGGAGTGATTGTCATTTAAGGCATTTTCTTTGTTCTTAGTGACTGCTAGGCCCTGTAGCTGGGCACCAGAGGCAGATTCAGGAGTAAACCAGCCTGTATGCAGGCCGGAGACCAGCGGGAAGGCAGACGCACAAACCGAAAACTGGACTACAGTGTGCTAGTATAAGCTCAGGAACGAAGAGCCAGGAGGAGGCGCTGCTGTTCCCTTAGGGATTGTCTTTTGAGTTTACCTTCTCTCGTCCCGTGAGACAGTCTTGGGCAGTGCTTTTCTGTAAAAACGCAGGTCTGCAATGGATGCTCTCCAGGCTTCCTTCCCTGATTCTCATCAGAGAGTCTCTTATCAGGTATTACTAATGGCTGTAATTCTGTCACAATCTGTCACTTATTATTGGTTAGTTTTTTTTTTTTTTTTTTTTTTTAGCTACATGGTCTCCAGACCAGCTGGCCTTGCACCAACTCTGCAGCCCAGGCTAGCCTCCATCTTCCCATCTACCTCAGCTTGCCAGAGTGCTGGGATTGCAGGCATGCATCACCATGCCTGGCTTTTTCCTTACATCTTAAGATATAGCCTAAACTGCATAGGGCTGGGAAATCTGGATTTTGGCCCTCATTGTGGTATTCTGGTCCTTGCTCCTCATTTGTAAAATGAAGGGAGTTGCATTGACATAGTCTGAAACCCTTTCCAGTTGTAATACTATGGTTGTTACAGTAGGTCAAACTGGATTTCATACTGTGTTACCTCAGGTGTGACCTCTACATTAATAAAACCGTGTCAGTGCATTTTTTCCCCAGCCTGGATTGTTGAAAAAGAGGGTGACTTGGCTTGTGTGTGTGTGTGTGTGTTATTTTTACATCTTGTACTTTACAATATTGGCAACATAGTCGAAGCTTAATAGAAACTTGTTAAATCAAATGGGATAGAAATTACAATCCCTGTTTTCAGACCCTTCCTCATTTTGAGGTATTAGTTCACATATGAAGAGGCTAGGGAGGAAATGGGGTTTTACCAGAGAGACTTGGAGTAGGCATGACAGTTTTAAACCAGCTTTATGGGGTAATTAGCTTGAGAAGCATAATGACAGAGGCAGGAGATTCTGTGCTGTTTCATCACCTTGTCTATCCCCAGGACCATGGCCAGCAATGAGCGCACTTTCATTGCTATCAAGCCTGATGGGGTCCAGCGGGGTCTTGTGGGAGAGATCATCAAGCGATTTGAGCAGAAGGGATTCCGCCTTGTGGCTCTGAAGTTTATGCAGGTAAGTGGACTTCATTCTTCCTACTGTGGTTCCTTTGTAGCTAGTGGAACACAGTAGATTAACTCTCAACTTGCCTCCTTTACTCCTTCTTAGACTTCTCCATGGTTGGGTGTCTCGAAACCCAAAAACCCCTCAGTGACTAAGCATGTTGGCTAAATCTTGGAACAAACTTGAGTTATGTGGGCCATTCAAAAATAGCCTTTTCCCTTAGTAATGTATAATACCACATATTACTGCAGCACTATAATTTATGACTCAGCTCTGGGTGTGTTTGAGCTCCTGGTCTTTAGCTTTCTAAGCAGATAATTTTAGAGCACTCCACCCCCCCCATCCCCCTCCCCACTTGAGGAAGGTTGTTTTTCTGCAAGGAAATCTTTACATCACCAGTTACTACCTACTTAGTGCCTGGTGTGTATTAGGCATCCTTGGGGCTTTGGGGGAAAACTATGGATTTGCCTTTGGTGAGGCTCCCCTATAACACAGCAGAGAGCAGACACAGCTACAAGTTACTTACAAAGCAATATTTTAATAAATGCAAAGGATTGACTGGCTAAGAATTCTTTTCAAACAAATCCAAGAGATGAGAATTCAGATTCTTAAATAAACCAAGGGACAGAATTTTTTTCCCATTAAGAGAATCAGCTTTGGCCTCCTAGTACATTTTAAATATACTTCGATTTGCAGTTTGCTTCCCGTGTACTATTGTAGTGAAGGGAGTGTACCATTGTTGATGCTGAAGGGATTGCATGGTGGAATGGTGAGAGCCAGGTATTAGACGAACAATGGGTTTGAATATTCAAATTTGGTTTTCAAAATAAAATGAAACAAATGAGTTGTTGACCAGGCATTTAGCATGTGCTGAGCACATGAGAGTTTCCTCCTAACTCTTATGATGACCCTGAGAGGTACTTATTTCTGTTCTCATGGTTGTTAGTGATGAGGAACTGAGGCTTGGAGAGGTTAGATAGTGTGCCTGGTAGTACACAGCCACTGATGCAGCTGGAATTTTAACTTTGGTTTCTCTGACCCCTAAGTACAAAGTACAGACATTTTTCTCCTTTACACTGAGTTTTCTGTCAAAGATACAGATTTGGTGAAGAATGGAAGGAGGGATATCTGCCATAAAGATTATTTAAATCTGTTATGGATTTTAGAAGCAAGGGAAAACTTGAGGATCTTCACTCTCCCCACTCAAAAAAAGCCTATCCATCTTAATATCAGACCCCAAACTCTTAAATTGATACAAGAAAGAGTAGGAAATACTCTGGAGTTAGTAGGTATAGGTAAGAACTTTCTCAATGAAACCCCAGCAGCACAGCAAACTAAGAGATAGCATAGATTAAATGGGACCTCATAAAACTAAAAAGCTTCTGTTTCATCAAAAGAAATGGTCTCTAAACTGAAGAGAACACCCACAGAGTGGGAGAAAATAGTTTGCCAACTATACATCAGACAAAGGCCTGATAACCAGAATATACAGGGAACTTAAAAAACTAAATTCTCCCAAAACTAATGAACCAATAAAGAAAATGGGCAAGTGAACTAAACAGAACTTTTCTCAAAAAGAAATTCAAATGGCCAGAAAACAAATGAAAAAATGCTCACCATCTCTAGCAATAAAGAAATGGCAAATTAAAAACCACACTAAGGATTCCACCTCACCCTGTTAGAATAGCCATCATCAGCAACACCAGCCAACAACAGGTGGTTGGCGAGGCATGCGGGGAAAAAGGAACCCTCTTACACTGTTTTTGGAATGTAGACTAGTACAACCACTTCTGGAAAAAATTTGAGGGCTACTTAAAAGCTGACATCGATCTACTCATTTTGATCCAGCAATACCACTCCTTGGGATATACCCAAAAGACTGTTACTCCAGAGGCACCTGACAATCCATGTTTATTGTGCACTATTCACAATAGCCAAGTGTATGGAAACGCCAAGATGCCCCAGCCACTGACGAATGGATTAAGAAAATGTGGTATCTATACACAATGAATTTTATGCAGCCATGAAGAAGAACGAAATGTTATCATTCGCTGGTAAATGGATGGAATTGGAGAACATCATTCTGAGTTGAGGTTAGCCTGGCCTCAAAAACACCAAAAATCGTATGTTCTCCCCATATGTGACATAGATCAAGGGCAAACACAACAAGGGGATTGGACTATGAGCACAGATAAAGCAAGGAGGCACACAAGGGAGGGGTAAGTAGTTAAGACACCTAAAAAACTAGCTAGCATTGTTGCCTTAACGCAAGAGAAACTAAAAGCAGATACCTTAAAGCAACTGAGGCCAATAGGAAAAGGGGAACAGGAACTAGAGAAAAGGTTAGATCAAAAAGAATTAACCTAGAAGGTAACACCCACGCACAGGAAATCAATGTGAGTCAATGCCCTGTATAGCTATCCTTATCTCAACCAGCAAAAACCCTTGTTCCTTCCTATTATTGCTTATACTCTTCTACAACAAAATTAGAAATAAGGGCAAAATAGTTTCTGCTGGGTATTGAGGGGGGGAGAGGGAGGGGCGGAGTGGGTGGTAAGGGAGGGGGTGGGGGCAGGGGGAGAAATGAACCAAGCCTTGTATGCACATATGAATAATAAAAGAAAATGAAAAAAAAAAAATAAATACACCTTCCAAAAACAAAAAAGCCTATCATTTGTTAGGCTAAAGATAATTGGAAGCAATTAATAGAATTAAAAGAATATGCTGGTCAGGGGAAGGTCAAGTCAGTAGGTGTTAGGAGACTACCTCTATAAGTCTTCAGTTTGAATAAGGAAGGGACGGAATAGAGGGTTAGACCTCACTTTGGAGTGATCAACAATGGCCGTACAGTTTAAAAACTTTGGGCAGGTGACAACAATCAGTGGCATGAATGATAAGGATGTTTCTTGACATGCTTTTTGGTACGCTAATATCCAGCATATTGTATGTATCCCCAAAGTGTGTAATATGACACAGTTCTGCAGAACCAGAAAAACTAAGTGACCCTGCTAGATCCCTAGCAAGATTAGACACCCTGGCAAAGAGAAAACATAGCCAGGTTGAGTTGAAACTAAGCAGATCGTTTTCTCTCTAGCTAACTCGATTTGTTCCATACACCAGCCTTTCTGTGAGAGAGATTCTCATTCATTCTTCAGTAAAATTAGTTATTGCTAGATGTGAAACTTTTGGGTGATGTCCAGGTATCTGTGGGGAATTGTTGTCACCCTGCTGGCCCATATCCTCTGAATAAATGTGAAGTTTCCCTGGGAGACAGCCTGGTTCTGGTTGCTTCTCATTGAATGTCCGACATTCCCTCTGACATTTTTGTTGGGTTGTACTCTGGGACTAGAAATCCATTGTATTAGTTTTCCTGTCTCATAGGAGATAACCGAATTCAATTCTAATGTCACTTTATTCTGATCTGTCAACGAGGGGGAAAACTTTTGAATTACAAAAACTGGCAACGAAGCCCCTTTTGTCTCTGTCCCTAGTTACTTCTCTCTGGAATGTGAAGGATGAATTAGGTTGTAACAGATCAGTGGATTGAGGGCAGGATGACTGATGGGAATAACTAGATTTCTGGTTCTTAGACATTTGGGGCCACTTCTCATCTTTTGTCCTTTGGAATAGGCTTCCTGCCAGCGCTTCTCAAAGACACTACATTGACCTGAAGGACCGTCCATCTTCAGCTGCTGGTGAGAATACACTGCACTCAGGGCCAGTGGTTGCCATGGTGAGTGTGCCTGTGTGGGATGTTGATGTGAATGACTCAGTTGAGAATGAAGAGTGAGTGCTGTAATGTATGCCTTGAATGCCAGGGCTTCATTGCTGCAGAAGGAACGGGGACTGGCCCGATTTAGACAATGGGTGTGGGTTCAGTCTTGATCTACAACAAGCAAACACCCATGCTTGCTGAGCTGAAGAACGGCGATGGCTAGGGAAAGTCAGGAGAGACCTGCTTGATTGCCTCCTTGGGGGGCAGGAAGATTGATTCTTGCTTATCGTAGGAGTATTTACTTCTTTAAGTATGTATTGCTTATTATATTTGTGCCAAGCTCTCTGGGGATACAGTTACAAATGAGCAAAATAAGTACTTATGTTTGTATTGTATGGTTTTGATTTTAAGGACTGAACTCAGTGCCTCTTGCTTGCTTGACAAGTGCTGTGCCACATGAGTCAGTCCTTTTTAGTTTGTCTTTCAGAGAGAGTCTTATAATTTTTTTGCCCAGGTTGGCCTTTGACTGTGATCCTACCTCTCACTGCTGAGTAGCTGGGATTACAGATATAGTCACCATACTGATGGCTGGCCTTTTTTTTTTTTTTTTTGAGATAGACCAGTATCCCCAGTGCTGGAGCAATGTCATCTTACAGTACCTTTTATTTTTCTTGTTTTGAATTAATAGTTGCTGATTCTGCTGAGATTGGTGTTCTTCCTTGACCTTATCTTCTTTTGTCCTTGGAGGTCTGGGAGGGGCTGAATGTTGTAAAGACAGGCCGAGTGATGCTGGGAGAGACCAACCCTGCAGATTCCAAGCCTGGGACCATCCGTGGGGACTTTTGCATCCAAATTGGCAGGTGACATTTGGTGTTTTTTTTGTTTTGTTTTGGTGGGACTGGGATTTAAACTCAAGGCTTTGGGCTTACAAATCAGGGACATGCACTGAGCCATGTCCAGCCCATTTTGCTCTGGTTATTTTGGAGGTGGAGTCTCATGAACTATTTGTCCAGATGACCTTAAACCCTATCTCAGCCTCCTAAATAGCTAGAATTACAGGCATGAGCCACGGGCACCAGGCTAAATTTATTTTTTATCCTTTTCCAAAGTCCATAAAAATTTGAGTTTCTGAGCCTGGACCATCTACAGGTCAGTTTTAAACTGGACTTCATTATCTTCCTCTGAAGTTGGTGATTGACTTTGAGGTTGTTATCATTGCTATGGCTGTGCCTCAGTTGAATGCAGAACCTAATCAGAGTCTTCTGCAAAGGCTCTCACTGCTTGCAGTAATTGCTGGGAGAGCTGGACATGGGAGGCCATTCTTCAGCCTTCAGTTAGCAGCAGCCATGAGTGTTTCTTCTGACATGATCTTACATATGCAGAGCTTTGGCTTTTCTGCTGCCATGGTTGTCAGCTTCCAAGCAGTGAGAGTGCAGTGGGTTTCTGGGCAGGTTAATTCTTCTGGTCTTGGTAACACAGCCGTCTCTTTCCCCACCCAGGAACATCATTCATGGCAGCGATTCCGTGAAAAGTGCAGAGAAGGAGATCAGCTTGTGGTTTCAACCTGAGGAACTGGTGGATTACAAGAGCTGTGCACAGGACTGGATCTACGAGTGACAGGAGGGCAGGCCACCATGCTTTTCCTGTCCACTTACTCCTATTCCTGTGGGCAGGGGACCAGACGTAGGAAATTTGGTTATTTCTGGAACTTATTTATAACCTAGAGTTGGTCTAGGTTGTAAGTGTAAAGCCCTGAGTTCAAATCCCAGTTCCACACCCTCCCAAAAAAAAAAAAAAACCCAACAAAAAAAGATGATTAGAGGAAAACTATTGGAGCTGTGAGTGCTCTCTGTACAGTGTTATGTGCTATCATCAGATTTTTAACCTAGTGTAGGATTAACTGAGTTGGTTACTTTGTATTGCTGAATTGCCTTGTATTACTTACTTCCTCTTTGAGTTAAATAAGTATAAATACTGTGTAAATTACCTGTTGGCCTCACTGATACATAGGCATTCTTTGCTTGTCTGTCTTCACATCCTGCATCCCATCCACTTGGCACTGGGTCAGTCAACAAGCATCTGTGCAGAACTTCTAGGTGGTCACTGTACTGGGTACAGAGGATCCATCAGAAATAAAACATCAGCCTGGATGTCATGGTGCATGCCTGTGATCCCTGCATTCAGGAGGCTGAGGCAGAGCCAGCCTGGGTTATATAGTGAGACCCTGTCTCAAAAAACAAAAAATTCCCAAACAATTCTGGATTTACATCCTTCATATCCCACTGGCCAGAACTTAGTCACATGGCTGCATTTAGCTAATGAGAAACTGGAAAATGTTATCTTTATTTTGGTAACCTTGTGCCTAGGTAAAACTCAGGAGTTCTACCTGGAGGAAAAAAAGGTGGAAAGAAAAAAATGAGAAGAAAAAAATGAGAATGAATATTGATGGACAACTAGGATTTTTATCACAAACTTTAGTGGGTTTTCTTTATTTACCAGGCTTTGGTAGAGGCAGTAGAGGGAAGGGGACTTCTCAGGAGAGGAAAGATCGTTGGGATTAGAGGCATTTTTGCATGGGTTGTATTAGGGGGTGAGATGAGAGTACCTTTGGGGGGATGAATTCGGAGTAAGGCGGGATGGCTATAGCCTTGAAGGAGTGGGTTGGTACTGACTGTACTGTGGGTAGGTATAGACCTGACGTCCACTGAATAGAGAAATGTCCAGTGAAATTTCCAGACCCTTATCCACAGTTGATATTTGGTAACTCCAAAAAACAACCTGAATAAGATGTTCAGGTTGAGGGCAAAGGAAACACTGCCCCAGAATGAGGGCAAATGATAGTCATTGCCGGGTACCCTGGGTTGATATTCTGCAGAGAGGTTTGGGAAGCTGAGAAGCTGTAACAGGCGTGGACTGTAGTCATCTAGTCAGTTGTAGGTGACCAGTGTGGCTTTGGAACCACTGGTGTGATGGTATGGGTCCTGAGATCAGCTCAAAGGCCTGGGGAGGTGTGGGCTCTCACCGTGTCAGGGCAGTAAGTGCTGCTGCATAGGTGTCTTAAGTGTGGGCACATGGAGAGGAGAGCTTGCTTACTCCTCCAGAGGGGGCTTTCTCCTGATCAGAGGCTGGAGTCACCCTAAATGTGGCAGGGGTGTTTCCACAAGGGAATCCCAAGTTATTCCAGGAAAGGACCTGTTGGGGTTCCAAAGAAACACTGAACACTAGGATGGCCAGATCAATGCATTTATTAGAGTGACAGGAAAGGGATGTCCTCCTAGGCTGGGTTCTCAGTGAGGGGTGAGCAGGGCTCAGGGCCCAGTCTGCAGGAGGAGGTAAGTTTTGGCTCAGGGTCTGGGCCAGTTTCAGGGTTTTGGGCAACAACCTAAACACCTTAGTTAGTCCCTGTGAATGTTCAAGGCCCTGACTTGGGCTCCAGCCTGTGGGAAAAACCTGCATCCTGCTGGTCACAGAGTGGTCAAGGCACTGAGACTTTGGGACTGGACACAGTTACAATAAAGTGACATAGGTGTTGGGGACCTGCAGGTGCTAGTGGTTTGCCAAGCAGGAGGGACTGTCTGCAAGTTGACAGGACTGGCTATAAGAGGTGATCAAATGGCTTTTGCTGAAAAGCACTGACTCCTTACTTGGGTCCATCCCTGCCTCCACTTTTTATCTGTCCTTGTTCTAAGCCATTCCCTTTGTAGTCACTTTGCAATCACCTTGGATTCCAGAAAGGACAGAACTGATAGCATTTTTATGACAAGGGACTGAAACTTCCCATAAGGAACAGTGGAGACTTGCAGGACAGACCACCCCTCCAAATGAGGACAGTTACCTAGAATGATAAGGATTGTTTCCCTCAAGTGATGACAGCGATAACATCTTCTCCGGAACCCCTCTGAGAACCCTTAGGTTAAAGGCAAAGAAAGGTGTTTCCAGAAGACCTTGTTTCTAGAGTTCCAGCTTTGGATGGGGTTTATTAAAAGTTAGGGAAAGGGAAATACAAAGGCAGCATGGTGGAGTGCAGGTGGAGCCTGCCATCAGAGAGAGCATGCTTTTCTTTTCCAGGTGCTTTAAAAACCTACACTAACTCATGGGGAGGGCAGACCCGGGAGATTCCCACCCAAAAATCAAGGTTTGGGGAGGGGCATGGGCCGGTGGTCTGGGCCGTCCCCGGGCGACGCTGGTGGAACTCGAACCCACAACCCTCGTGGTCACTAGGAATTTGAGGCAGGCTAGAAGTTGGAAAAGCTTGGGGTTCCCGTGGTTGCCAGGGGATGGCCCAGTTGGCAGTTTGGATGAGGAAGGCTGAGGGCCCCAGCAGGACTCAAGCAGAGGGGAGGTAGAGGAAAGGCTGAATTTCAGGGGTGGGAAGGGTAAGAACTCGGGGCGTCAGAGCAGAGAGAGTCCAGCTGGACGCTGGTGCCCTGGAGGAAGGTGACAGCAGATGGCATCACCGAGGGTAATAAACTCCCGAGCAGCAGCAGGTTGTCACGCGTGGAAGCATGTGGGGGCAGCAGGAAGCACTGGGAGAAGCAGCCATGAGAGTTGGGAGGCCCTGGTGGGGAACAAATCACTTCCTGCCTGGGAACCCTCAGCAGCCTTGCAAGGCGAGGGCGTGCACCGCAGGCAGCCAGAGCGTCCTGGGTTGGGCGCCGTCCAGCCGGGGTGTGGTCGCCCCGCGTCCCGCCCCGCTCCTCTCCTCGGCTGCCGGCGCCGGCTCGGTGGTGGCTCTGGTCACACAGCTTCCGCAACGCATCGCAGCTGCCGCCCGGCCCGCCAGCTCCTGGGTAAGGCCGGGGCGCCCTCCCCGCTCCCCCGCTCCCCGTCAGCCTCCCCACTCCCGCGCGCGGGTCCCAGCCCGGTCCCCTGCTGTGGCCCCTCAGCTGCCCGGGTGTGGTGGAAGCGTCCGGGAAGCCACGTGTCCCTGGCGGCGGCTGACGGGCGGGCGTGTTGGGCGTCCACGTGGCCTCCCGGCTCCAGGACCCTGGCCCCGCCGGCCTGACCGCGCTTCTCGCCCCGCAGGACCATGGCCAACCTCGAGCGCACCTTCATCGCCATCAAGCCGGACGGCGTGCAGCGCGGCCTGGTGGGCGAGATCATCAAGCGCTTCGAGCAGAAGGGGTTCCGCCTGGTGGCCATGAAGTTCCTTCGGGTAAGGCGCCCCTGGTCCCCTGCCCCTAGCAGCCCGGTCACGCGCGGGACCCATGCCTGTTTGTCCACGTCTCCTGAGTTCTGTTGGCCGGTTTCGTTCCCGCGAGAGTCCCTTCGCCCTCCGCTCCTCCCCGGGCTGCTGTGGCCCGCTGGCCTCTTTCCGAGGGAGGCCCGAGAGGACAGCCGCCCTTGGGAAGGTTAAGTGGAGGTCACGTGACTCTTGCCCAGTGCTGGCCGAGGGCTGCCACCCTGTCAGGGCGTCCCGGGAGTGGGGGTGGGGGGTCAGGTTGGCAGCAGGGAGGGGACAAAGCCTGGCTTCCTTCTCTGATGATGCTGGGAGGTGCTGCTCAGAATGCGAGCGTGCTGTCCCTTTGTGCTTTAGAACGAAACTAAGGAATGATTGAGGTTTTTGAGTGCCCGTGCCCCTCCTTTGCACAGGGTAGAAACTGTATCTTTCACATTAAATTTGAGGCACAGATCTGAGGCCGTACTAAGGGATGTGTACAGAAGTTTTAAGTGCATGAGTGAAGAGAATGTTCTCTGTGATGTGAAACGTTTAAAAGGGCACTGTGAGTTTGATGTGATCTCTATCTGGCATTCCTTCAGTGGCAGCCAACATTTAACTCCCTATTATACTCCACCCTCAAACCACCTGTTATTTAGAATTATAAAATTCTAAACATTATCAGTGATATTACAAGAGTGTCTTTTATTTATTTATTTATTTATATTTGGGGTGGGACTGGGGTTTGCACTCAGGGCTTCACCCTTGCAAAGCAGGAGCTCCACTGCTTGAGCCCCACCTCCAGTCCATTTTGCTCTCGTTATTTCGCATACCTGGTCTCACTGTTTGCCTGGGGCTGGGCTCGAACCACCATCCTGCCTATCTCAGCCTCCCAAATAGCTAGGAATACAAGACACAGGGTGTCTTTGGTCATAAATTTTTCTGCTAAAATTGCATCAGATTCATGGTTTGGGTAGGTTTTTATTTTATTTATTTGCAATACTGGGGTTTGAACTCACACTTGCTAGGCATACACTCTACCCTTTGAACCAAAGGATGGGTATTTTTGGGATGGGCATTTTCGAGATAGGGTTTTATGAATTTTTTTTTTTTTTTTGCAGACTAGGGTTTGAACTCAGGGCCTACACCTTGAGGTTTTTTGTGATGGATTTTTTCGAGATAGGCTCTCACGAACTCTTTGCCTAGGCTGGCTTTGAACCCTGATCCTCCTGATCTCTGCCTCCCGAGTAGCTAGGTTAAAGGCATGAGCCACCAGTGCCAGGTTTGGATAGGATTTTTAAATACACACCTTATGAATGGGCAGAAACACCAAACTGGACTTTCAGAGAACCTGGCATATTGGTGACCTGAGAAGCTTCTTCAGTTTGTTTCCTAATGGGATCTTCCTGTGAATGTCAGGCCTCGGAGGAACACCTGAAGCAGCACTATATTGACCTGAAGGACCGTCCCTTCTTCCCTGGGCTGGTGAAGTACATGAACTCAGGTCCAGTGGTGGCCATGGTGAGTGCTTACGGAGACCAAGGGAAATTAATCAAGGCTTTTGAGCCTTTCCTTCCCTGTTTCCCTTCCTCCCTCCCTTCCTCCTCTTTCCTTTTTGAACCTAAGTATGTAAGTGCATGAAGCAAAATTCTCTAATCCTCTGCCAGAGTTGAAGCATCTTCTGGATGCATAAATGCCTAGTTGGGAATGAACAGGAGAGGGTATAATAGACAGGCACTGAGATAATTTATTAAGACTACTTCCTCCTTCCTCCAGCTCTTCCCTGGAATACTTTCCCTTGTATATCAACCATGGCCATCTCTTGCCTTGTCTCTGGGATCCCTTCCCCACTGATCCTTCTCCAGCCATCATGGCACCCCTTCTTCACTCTTTGTTCTCAGTGTTTGTGGCTGTACAAGCATTCTTCTGTCTTAGCTAGACTAGGAATTCCCCAAGTTGGGTAGATTTTCCCTGTATCTTGCATTTGAAAGGGAATTTTTTATATAGGCTCCTACTATCTGTGAGGGTTATCTAACAGTGATGTCACCAATTGATCTCATTGGTGAGTGCTGTTAGATATGAATGTTTATAATGGTATTGAGTGGCAGATTTGCTTCAGTAATTCCTCTTCCATCTTGTCAAGGTCTGGGAGGGGCTGAATGTGGTGAAGACAGGCCGAGTGATGCTTGGGGAGACCAATCCAGCAGATTCTAAGCCAGGCACCATTCGTGGGGACTTTTGCATTCAAGTTGGCAGGTAAGCCCTGGGGAGGCTGTTAGGACTTTAAAAAAAAAAAAAAAAATTGGATGCATCCCAATTTTATAAAAATTTGAATTTTATATTAGGTGACAATTACAAGTTTCCATAAATAGCTACATGTGGTAGTTCCCATGTGCACAGCAGGAAGTGCTCAGGTGGGGGAAAGGAAGGGTTCTAGCCTCATCCAGCTCTGCCCTCTGGACACTAATCCTTTTCCTAACAAAATCTGTACCAAAACTTGTTACAAGATTCAAATGGAATCAGGGGGTTATCAATAAGCACATGTCATGGTTGGGTTTTGCGAATCAGTGGTGCAAGAAAATGCAGCAGAAATGGCCCTTATAATTAGTAAATTACATCTAGGACAGTTTTCTTTGCCATAGGTTTGACTTTTTCTGTGTTTTTCAAAAAATTGAGGAATGCTCTGTAGCATCAGCAATCTTGGGTTGTAAACATTTTTGAAGGGGGGAACCTTGGAAGCATAATACGGTTGAACCAAGGGTCATTTTAATCAATCATCTTTACAGCTTTATACTTTGTTTTAAAATACTTCGGAAGGGGCTGGAGGAGACAGGACTCAGGTGGCAGAGTGCCTGCCTAGTAAGCGCAAGGCCCTGAGTTCAAACCCCATTACCACCACCACCACAAAAAAAAAAGCCTTATAAAATACTTTGGAAAAGTTCTGCACTGGCTGTCCTTCCCTGTACCCTTTAAATAGACTTTTGCACTTTAAACATGGTAACTATTAATTTTTCTGTTTTTTTAGGAACATCATTCATGGCAGTGATTCAGTAAAAAGTGCTGAAAAAGAAATCAGCCTATGGTTTAAGCCCGAAGAACTGGTCGATTACAAATCTTGTGCTCATGACTGGGTCTATGAATAGAGGTGGACAAACAGGAGTCCCCGCCACTAATGCCTGATGGGTCTCTGGACACAGCTGTTCATTCCACAGACCAGAAGCAATAGGATGGATTTTTTTCTAAAGTGTTATTTACCTACCTATAAAGCCTTGGAACTGGACAGAGTGTCCTGTGTTTATTTGATGCTACTGAAAGCAGTGACTTTGTTTGGATAGTGGCATTATCCATATTTATTATGGAAGAATGAGCTGATCTTTCTCAGAACCTAGGTATAGTTTAAGACATTGTGAGGGAGAGTAGGGCTGGAGAGGAAAAGTGTAGCCCTGGCTGTTTGTCTAAGGAAACTAGTAAGGATATAAACATCCCAAACTGCATTAGCTGATACAGAAATGTCTTGCTAAGAAGGATTTGTGCACCTGGGCACTAGTGGCTCACGCCTGTAATCCTAGCCACTGAGGAGGCAGAGATCAGGAGGATGGCAGTTTGAAGCCAGCCTGGGCAAATAGTTCATGAGGCCCTATATCAAAAAGAGCATCATGAAAAAGGGCTGGTGGAGTGGCTCAAGGTGAAGGCCCTGAGTTCAAGCCCCAGCACTGTTTAAAAAAAAAAAAAAAAAAAGGATTTGTGGAAACTGTGGTAGAGTGAAACATACGGACTAGTCAAGTGGTCCAGATTTACATCTTTGTTGACTGCAAATTGGGCCAACTACTTATGAAACAGTGTAAGTCTTAAGATAGGTAAAATGGGAATAATACCTATCATTGTAATGGAGGATTAAATAATGTATAGAACAGCAGTTAACCTAGTACCTGCTCCTTTGTGGTACTTGGGTATTCCTGCCCCTATCCTTTCTTTCCATTCTGCTGGGATGAGCTAAATGTAACAGGCTTGCTTCCTGGGTTAGAAACATTTCATGGTTAAAAGATTCATACTCCCTGGGCTGGAGGAATGGCTCTAGTGGTAGAACACTTGCCTAACAAGTGTGAAGCCAAGTTAAAACTCCAATACCACCAAAAAAAATAATCCTTGTTTTTGATGTACTTGGTAAAATGCATTTGTAGCACTAGCCTTCTGGGGTCTGGCTTAAGAACTCAACAGAAATAGATGGGTTTAGTTTTAAGAAATTGGTGAAGGAGCTAGTGGTGTGGCTCAGTGGTAGAGTGCTTGCCTAGCATTTGTGAGGACCTAGGTTTGAACTGTTCCCCTTACATAAGACTCAAGAGCATGTATGTTTGCATACTTTTGCTACATTAGATACAGTGATAGGGTGATGTAATACAGTATTTGGTTTCTGCCCATGCCTGGCACATAGCTCCTAAACCCCCTTGGAATCTTTGATGTACAAAGTGTGTGTGCTGAACTGATGTGAACGGGAGTGTTCTGGATGTCCTATGTATGAGGCAGCTGGTTTATAGGGGAACCAATTTGTGATTAGAGGGTTGGAACTCTGGTGTCATTCCCCAGCGGGGCTAAAGGTTGAGTTACTCACCAGTGACCAATGATATGATCTTTCATGTCTACGTAATGACAGAGAAACCAAAAAGGCACGGTTTGGGGAGCTTCTACATTCCTAAGGTACCTGAGGCTGGTGTGCTCCATGGCCCTTCCCACACATCTTGCCCTATTTATCTCTCATCTATATATCCTTTTTGAAATAAAAAAAGGCACTTGCCTGTCATCTCAGCTATATGGGAAGCTGAGATTGGGATGATTATGGTTCCAAGCCTGTCCAGGCCAAAAAAATTTTTAAGACTCCATCTCAATGGAAGAAAGCTGGGCATGGTGGTACATACCTGTCATCCCTGCTATGCCGGAATTGTAAAACAGGATTGTGGTCTAGGCTGGTTTGGGCAAAAAGTGAGACCCTATTTCTAAAATAGCCACAGCAGAAAGGGCTAAAGGCACGACTCAAGCAGTAGATTCCCTACATAGCAAGTACAAGAGGCCTGAGTTAAAACCCCAGTACTGGTGTTTCCCAGTTTTGTGAGCTGCTCTTACATATCAAGCCGTGATTTACAGGCAGTTGGTTAGAAGCACAAGTCTAACCCCAGCATGTGACAGGCTCTAAAGTAAGGGCTGATATGTAATGGAGAACCATTTGGTGGGGGTAAACGAGCTCATGCATCAGAAATGTTCAGGTGGGGCCCAGGGAGTTAGCTCAGCATTACAGCATATACCTAGCATGCCTGAGGCCCTGGACTGGGTCCCTGGCACCCCCTCCCAGAATAAAAAGGCCCTGAGCATTTTAACTCTAAAACACAATGCTAGCTAAGATGACTAATTCCTCCTCTAAATGGTCCATACTTAACTTTTGGTTCTGCAGTGGGCTGTGACCCTTTCCCTCCCTGCCGGTGAAGTCCCAGCTCCAATGCAGCCTTGTTTACATGTCTGCCTATAGTTTTGCTCTTTGGCAGGACTGGGGTTTGAACTCAGGGATGCTTGCTAGGTAGGCACTTCTATCATCTGAGCCATGCCTCCAGCCCTACCTATATTCTCAGCTGGTTTATTTTGTTAGATTAGGTTGCTGGGTCCTTGGAGGAAGAACTGATCTAGCTTTCACAGGGGTCTCTGAGTGCTGCATACAGATATGAATTTAGTCACTATTTTGAATAAATTCTCCCCAAACCACAACATATTAAATAATTTGTCGTATACAGCTTAACTTTAACATTTTTATTTTGTGTAAAAAAGGGCAAATTTAGTGAATTATTTTCATCTTGTACACAAAAGTTATAATTTTAATGCTTTTCACATCCATGCTGAAAATCTGCAATTTGGTAAAAATGAAAGGAACATAAATTTCTCCAAAGGAATTTTTCACGCCATTATATACACTTCATGAGAAAGTTTCAAATGCTTTCTCCATGATCACAAGTTACCAGAAAATAAAAGATTAAATTTGTACAGATATTGATCTATATATCAAATACATACAGAAATGATGTAAAAACCTTATGCAGTTTACTTTGACTCTGTCCTCAAAAGATTTGCCCAGGGACAGATGCTTTTCTTTTGTATAAATGACTGTGGCTTTATTTAAAATATGAAAATCAAAGGAAGAAACCCAGTTTAATCACAGTATTTTTAAAATCCCTTCCCAATATTAAAGGATCATTACCAAATATATAGCACCATAATACAAATATTGATGGGAGAGGGTATTCACATCGCACAAAATTAATAATAATAAAAACAAACAAACACTGAAAACCCGTGTTAGTATCCGTAGAATAAGAAGTTGATAACAGCTTTAGCTTTCCTCATACACAGCAAGGAAAAGGTCAAAGAGTTTAACTACCAAAGTTCCCAAGTAATCCTAACAGGAAAAATAAAAAAATTCAAGGTCAGCAGTACATATGAACCGTAAAAGAGAATGGGGCTACTGAGTTGTACAACTGGAGTTATGGCTAAGACGTAAATCTCCTCTGCATTAACTTATTTTCTGTTCATGAGCAGCAGGAGTTAGAGTCTGAACAATGAAGAGGGCTTCAGGGTGTGTTGTTGGTCACTGGATCAAGATAAACACTTCATGAGTAGATGACGGATTCTGAAACACTCAAAGAGCCTGGTTTTGCCGTAGAATTGGAAGCTTCAAAAACCTGGCTACAAATGAGCATTTTACAGAACTAATTACCAGAACTGGCTGGCTCCCAATCACACCCTCCTGGTTTACGAAGTTCCCCAGGCAGCTCCTACATCCAAGGTACTGGTACAGCACATCATATAGCAGGCTACTTACGCCCGTACCATGGAACCAGAGTCCTGGGTTTAATCTGTTGAGCCTGAGAATAAAGACTGCTGTAGCCTTTGCTTTGGACCTCTTCTAAGCTTTAAAGTCAAGGGAATATTCTTCAAAGTTAAAGATTTGGGAAGTGTGATGATGTCACATTTACAGTAGGTCCCTCTCAGCAATGTTAAGATAAATACCCAGTAATTTTATAGCTGAATTCACATATATTTGACACACGAGAATCAACTTGCATTGATGTGATCTGTATTTATGTCCCCAGAGTCAGTGTTAAGAAATGATGACATGCGATTCCATACATTCTTACACTATAAAGTAATGTTTTACTTCCAGTAGCTACAAAACCTTATGTTATTAACCCCTCTTGCATAGAATGAGGTAAACCTGTGCGTATTACCAATGCTATTATTCCCAAAAGTAGAGCATTATTTTAGAAAATTAAATTGCTGGTTTTTAATGTTCTATGCATTTTAAAATTCAAACAACAAAAAAAAATCTTACCTAAAATGGTCTCCTGGGGCTTTCCATGAACATTTTTAAAGCGTTCCATAGGCTGGAGGACTGTAGAGGTTAATCATTTTGATTAATTTCTAATTAGCCCTGCCTATTTTGCAGAGGAGATGGTGAGTATTACCACTCTGAAGAGGCCAGGCAAAGACCCAGAAGCACTTCGAGAACAGATGCAATGAATTCCTGAGAGTTTAGTTTATGAACCTCACTGGTAAACGCTGGAGCTCTCATTCAGTCACAACTCGGTAGAAGGTTAAAAAATGCAGAGAGCAAATCTTTCACCAATTTACCCTTTTATCTTATTTTTAAAGGAAGCCTTGTGAATTTAAAAGTAGGGAATGTTCAAAATGGTCCAAATCAGTTGTTAAAATAAATTGACTATAATTAAAGACAATTCAAACTATATATATGGAATTTTAAGAGAATTACATTCTCTTTCAAATCAGTTTTCTAACAAATCCAGGATAGCTAAAAGAGGAGCTGGAATGATTCTGAAATCTCAACTTATTTGGGCTTTGATCATCAACTTTTAATCTGATTCTTTTAGTAATACAGAACATCTGTTTTGGGGTGTGGTTCTACCAAGCTGCTACCTCACAGATGGAGGGCAGTGGTAGAGTGATCAGAATCCTTTTGTGGGGTATTTTTTAGCAATGAAAATAAACTTAGGACAGTATTGCATGTTCCCAACCCCTCAACATGTAGACTGAGATCCTGTGTATCTTGTCAACCATTCCAGTTTAACACTTTAGTGTCAGGATAATTTTACTCATTTTTACTTAAAAGAGCACATATTAAAAAAAAGTATCCAGAGTTCTTCCAGTTTCATATAGAACTCCAAATAAATTTTTGCAGAATGAGAAACTTTTCTGTACAAATGCTTAAAATGGACTGTAA